TACCTAAACTGAAGTACTCGTACTTGTACTCAGTCTTGAAAAAACTGGTATCGGGACACCCCGGGTTGTTACCAACATCTGGTGAAAATTTCATGTCATTAGCACCTCTAGTAATATATTTACTGAGAAAAATGTTGACGTGTTCAATACTTATTTTACCCGCTGTATTTCTTTTCATTCTAGATGATCTTGCCATCTCCCATTCCATTTCACCACCACTATTTCCACCTGATGTGGAAGCCATTAATTTACATTCAATGCACAGTTTATGCTACCGCCAACAAATTCAAGCCTACCGCCCTTGTCAAATCTGCCACGTCAACAGCGTTCCGTCCTGCGTTTTCTCCAACGCCCGCTCAGCAGACCACAATGAGCAGACCCCGACCCGCCTGCCTCACTACCTTCTAACTATGTGTCAATTTAAAGACTCCTCCAATGTAGCCAACAATTGCATCCTCCTTTTTCCTCAATTTGAGGGACAGTTCTAGTAGATACTTCTTGGCCCACCCTCTCCGATGATGCATTGTGAGTCGACCAGATATTTTTGTTGCTTGTATTGACGGACGAAGTGACAGGAGTACAGTTTTAAATAAAAATCTGTCTGTATAAAAATGTAAAGTTTCAAGCTTGTGTTGTTAATGCTTTTATCATTCCATGTTTTTAATATTATTCTTGTCAGAAATCAAACAAGCTGGTATAGAGAAATAAACATACACCTCCGGTGGGTCCATTCATCAAATATTGCCTTTAATAATATTAATTATACAGATATATTGATATTTTGCTCATTTCAATATATTTTTTCTGTTCTCCAAATTCATAGCCACCTTTTTTCTGTTTTTTGCGGTCCATTAAGGGCCCAGCACACCTAGACCAGGTCCTTTGAAGGACGCAGCCCCTGGATTTGGACACAACCCATCAGTACTTTATGGCTTTCACTCCACTATACTGATTTGTTTCTAGTCTTGATGCTTGCCTTGATTCTCAATTGTATATCTTTGTTTGTTTGTTTGTTTGTTTTTCCGCCACATCAACCAAATGTAGAATTATGTTTCTTCTTTTCGAGTCCTCGGATGAACTGTTCTTGGGTCCAAGCTTAACGTTGAAATGTGACGCTTCGTTCATTTTAAATGAACTTTGGTCCAAAGAAGATGAAAGTGATCCAAGATGGTGTTTACATATGACTTCTTTTTTGCACGATAGAGCTTTAACCAGCATTTGTGTTTGGCATAGTGAACTGTGTTCCTGAGTCCATGGACAGAATCAGATGTCTTAACACTTTAAAGGGATCCATGATTAGTTGTAACATTAGACTTTATTTGATAAACATTTATTTTAACTGTAAAATCATTTATTTTAACTGTAAAATAAAGACTGTAAAAATACTGTAGGATGTTTAGTTTTGTAAATTTTTAAAATATATTTTAACACAGACG